AGCTTGCGCGTCACTGCGGAGAAACCGTTGTACGGCTAGCTTGGTTTGGCATCATGGCGCTAGGCTGGCGTGCGGTTGCGGTTGCGGAGCGGAATCTATGCCGCTGCTATGCCGCAGCGTTGCCAAATCTACCCGAGACTGAAAAGACGGTGAAACCCACGAACACGTCGCGATTGCCTCCTTTCCTCTGCATGAATGTGTGTGCGACGCGTCCTCGTTGGCCGGTCGTCGCCGCCGCATTTCCAATGCGGTGATACTGGTGCGCATCGACCGCACCGGATTTATAATAATGCCGCCGGAGAAACCGGTGATCGGTTGGAACCGGTTGTAGGAGTAGTTCGATATTCATGCGCGAATACGTAAATCGTTACTATAAATAGATTACCTATGGAATTATCGAAATTCGATGTGTAATAATTTAATATTGCACAAAAGAAAATACAAAAGTAGTTGATAACCTATATGTTTGTTTATATCTTAACATTTAACACTGTTTTGTTAATATGAGATGGTTACCGATGGATTGCGTTTTTGACGTTGTTGATGCGGAATTCTCCGCAGGTTTCGACGTTGCCAGACATGATAGGCGTGCAAGTATACGTTGAAAGTGGCACGTTGCTACGCGATCATAGATACCGTGCTGAACAGGAATGGACGCGGACGCGCCGCGGTCACGTCGTCGCGTTTCCACCGCGCCATTATCGACCATGTCCGGCCGTTTGGCAAACGTAGCGAAATCGACGCCGGCTATCCATTGAATGAAACGTTATATGATCTTATCTTCCTTGTAGATCTTGTAGAAATATCTTTGTTTACAATGTTTTTCATAAATAGAAAATAGAAATTAAGTTTTAGGATGTATTTTAAATTGAATCATATGATAATGACGTATTATAAATAAAGCTCACGTAATATATATATAAGTTTTTGTGATGGAAAGTAATTAATTGTTTGTTCGCTATTAGAAATAATTAAACTCCTTTTAAGTTTAATTATTGTAAAATATCACGATTATTTGACATATCGCGCGCAAATGCTCGTTATCCAATAAACGGCAATCTTCGACATAGTCTATTGAATATTTGCGCATGATCAGAAACACATTATGCTTAAAAACATATTATAATTAAATATTTAACAATGATTTTAGTTACAACATTTAAATGATTAAATATAAATGTCAAAAAAAATATTATATATTATAATTAAAAATTCTTTCATAAAAAAAACAATTCAAATAAAAAAATAAACATTTATTGTACATCAAATATTGTATACGTGACCATTACAAAGTTACAAAATTCTTAATTGATTTTTAAATATGTATTCCGTCATTTTCTAATATGCTATATTCTTATTTCAATATAATCCTACAAACCATTATGACCATACTACTACAATAGAAATGAAAAACAAAAAAGACGCGTAAAAAAAAAAAAAAGAAAAAGAAATTCCAAAGTTCATATAAGAACAAAAGAAAAACTTCTTGCAGCAGCTGCGAATATCTCAGGAGGGGACTGTTCGAACATGCGAGCTACGCGATGGAACAAAGATAAAAGATTTTCGAATAGGAAATGGAAAAAACATGAGGAAAGACGAGCGAGAAAGAGAGATCGATCGAGGGAACGATGAAAAGGGGGTGAACGAAATGGAGTGAGAGAGGACATCGAAAGGAAAGAGGGAGGGAGAAGAAGACAGAGAGAGATATATATATATAGTTAGTTGAAACAGAGTGTACCTTTAACGCACTTCGTCCTCCCAGATCCTAGTCAGTCTAAAGCCGGCGACAAAACGGTGAACATCGGCTAATTTTTTTATTATTTCTCTGTATAATCACAACTATCGTCCTTTCAGACCTATATTCCTTGGTCACGTGTTCGAGTCCAGACAAATTTGATCGATCGTCATGCCGGACTTCCTTGGAAAGAGATACAAGCTGTACAGCAGTGAGAATTTCGACGATTTCATGAAAGCGCTCGGTAAGTATGAATAAATAGTAAGTTAATTTGATTATGTTTTAACGCGGAAGAATGTTTCTTCGTGAGTCATACATCAATATAGACATGTTTTTAGAAAGTGCAGCGATAAATTCTATTTGCGATAGGTTACATATCATTGCACGAATTTTACACGAGAGATTACATTATCAACCAGTATCATTGTTGTCGAATAGCATACATTTTATATACCGCAATCAAAATAGAATATTCATAAAAAAACGTTACATATCATGTCATATTTCACAAAATGACATTAACGACATTTTGTTGCTTGATAAGATGAATATTCTAATGAATTTGATAAGAAAGTATTATACAAAATTATTATTGAAATATAATTATGAAATTGCTTATAAAATTATTTTTAATGATTAATGTAATATGTTATTTAAATAAACTTATGATTTGTGTATCTATTATATAATATTAGATACATATATAATTAATGTTATTAAGATTAAAATAAAATAACAAATTTTAAAATATTTTGATATTGTCAGATAAACTTAAAGAATATGAACAACTAATGTTATAGAATAATCGGGAATTCCGTCCGTAGAAAATTTAATTTGGCTACAAACGAACGATCTCATTTATAATATTAGATGTATTATAATGATAAATAAGATAATCAATTTTAATATGTTGAACTATGCTCCTATGGCTGTGCAACGACCTGACCTCACGCTTAATTCCCGCCATGTGCTACAGACAGAGTCCGATTGTACTCCAATTTAGCACTTGAATTAATTTACCGGCGAGATTAATAAATCGCAATTGTCAGTCGAATCGAACTAATGTATGGTACTTATAGAGTTGAGTTAATAAAAATATATTGACCGCATTTTAAAAGATGAAATAGAATTTCAAATAAAAGATAAGATACATAATATTAGAAAATTGTCAACAATAGTTGATGCGATGAAACAAACAAGTATAACATTAGAAAGTGCAAATAATTCATTTGTCATATAACTATCAACAGTTGTATAAGCGCGTCTGCAATATTTTCGCATTCTCATTACATTATAACTGGTTATTTCATAAGATTACCGGAAATTAAATAAAAGTACAAATTCATTTTGATCGACATCGCCCACACGTTGAAGTGTTGACGAATACGAATAAAAAATAAATTATTTCTTCCTCAAGTCAAGAGTGATTGAAAATTGTATAATATTTGAATATATAAAAATACGTATATTTTTCGCAAATTCGCAATGATTATATTTCAGATTTTGTATTTGCGATCATCTTTAAGAAATATGACTAAGAATATCAATGATATATAGTTATATAACATGAATCATGTTAAATATATAGTAGACTTTTATTTTTATAGACTACACATGTAAAAAATGTTGAAAACAAATATCATATATCCAGTGTAATTTAATTCGCGCAAACAAGATTACTGTAACTTTACAACTTTTGTTTTCAAAGATATGCGTGATGCATCGTAAAATCATAATAATCATAAATAATATCGCAGAAAAGTTCAAACTTCAAAGTTTAAGTATTTGCCATTTAAATTAAGATGCGAAATTATTTTCATTGTTCAGAATATAAAATATGATAATAGCACTGCTGGTGTTCAGTCTTAACTTTACTCTCATTGGAGACGCGTCACGCTTGATTCGTTCAAAATGCTTTCGGCCTTTTATAGAAAACGTTATAAACTCCAATCGAGTGAAAATTTTGACGAGTTTATGAAAGCTTTAGGTACGAAAATCTTTTTCGATTAAATAAAAATTATTTTATATAAAATATGCTTTCAATATAATTTAAAATTTAAATATTATAATTAAAATTTTTACGATTGATTTATAAATAATTAAGTCTAAAATGAGTTTTCAAATCTGTATATTTTTTAAACATAATTTTTTTTTTTTCTTTAGGTGTAGGTATAATGACACGTAAAGTGGGCAGTAGTGTGAGTCCCGTAGTTGAACTGACGGAGAATAATGGTCTCTATACGTTGAAAACGACTAGCCCATTCAAGAACACTGAAATAAAATTCAAGCTTGGCGAGGAATTTGAAGAAGAAACGGTAGATGGAAGAAAAGTAAAGAGCGTCTGCACTTTAGATGGAAATAAACTTATTCAAGTACAAAAAGGAGAGAAGCAGACCACAATTGAAAGAGAATTCTCATCAACAGAAATGAAAGCAGTACGTATGGAAAAAATATGTAAACAAATTAGAAAGAAAAAAATTATTGCAATCTTATATATATATATCTTGTATTTCCTTTATATTCCTTTAATGCAATCTTTAGATTTTAATATCTTAGATTTAATATCTAATAGATTTTGATATCTTATTCTTTTATTATTATTTTGGTTTAATCATAAATATTGAATCTAATAAAAACTTGGAATTTAATAATTTTGATCATTAAAAAATTAGAAGTTCAATAATTGAATTTCATTTTATGCAATAGAAATTCTAGTAGAGTTAAATGACACAACGAAAGATAACGGAGCGAACATCTAATGATAATAATGTCTATCATTGGTCAAAAGGTCCGCCAATTATTATGTGCTCTTCGTGACTCGAACAATGTAATAACAAGTTCAATAATAGAATTAATAACTGTTTCAAACTTGAAAAAGAGTTTTAAAAAAATATAGGATTCATGAAAAAAATGTATACTTAGATTCATATAATAAAAATAATTTTAAATATTATATTTATATATATATATATATATATATACATAATTTTATATACATATATGAAAAAATTAATTTTTTTGTTTCATGTTACAGATCATGAAAGTTGATGATATTATATGTACAAGAGTATACAAGATTCAAGACTAAAAATTTTATTTAAGGAAATAACTTCTTCAATTAATGAATTATTTGATGATTTAAAAATTTTTTTCGCTAATGGCAATATAATATTTTTGACAAATAAAAAAAAGTAATATAAACGTTTTTTATACGCACAATAATACATGAATGTATAAATATCACTTATATTGTTTGAAAGATATGGTATTTCGCAATATAATACTCGATATTACGAAATATATGAAATATTACTAAGTAATATTAGTTTATATTCACATATACGACAAAGATTATTACATAGAGATTATTACATATTTAAAAATATATTGAAAATTTATATATTTTTTTATGCATCTTTAAATATCATTCATATGCTTTTATGTACATCATATTCATTGTGAGTATATTAAGCGAATTCACAATAAAGAATAGTTTTGAATTTCATATAAAGGCATTTTTTTTTTTATGTGATACAATAAATGGAAAGCTTTAATTACAAATCTGATAAAATAAAAGAATATTTTGAAATAATTTTTAATCAATATTTATCATCTTATCTCCATTCCAAATTATTCATCAGGATCTATTACTGGAGAAATCTGAAATATTTTATTTGTATGTATATTTATATCTAGCTTCACATTACATTTGTTAGTAAATATAAGCTTACATAATATTCTATGTAACATGTATGTCCTTCATCAGTCTTAACCATATATTGAAAACACAATAGTCCAAATGAATCAGTCCTCAATGAAACTTTATTTGCACAAGATAATGCCTTCATAGCTGGCTTAATATGTGTAAGTTTATAACTTGATGTAGCTGTTGAAGTACATTGGAAATTATCAATCAATTCACCATCATGTGGTAATTCAATATGACAAATTCCAGCTAAACCAGCTGTACTAATACGAAAGAAAGGTGGGGAAGGAGATAAAAATAGCTGTAATATTATCAAAATGTAAAATTATAGAGTTTATAATAGAATTATTAAATATTAAATTATGCTTTACCTCAATCAAATCACTACTTGAATCAAGCTCAGATAAGATATCTTTTAACAATTCAGTTTGAAGAACTACTTTATTCAAAACATTTTCCGGTTCAAGATGAAAATCTAACAATTCATCAGGTTCTTGTGTTTTTAAAGAACAATCTGTTATAATACCATCTTCTTCAATAAGAACTGTTACAGGATGTCCATTAGCCTATTCAAAAATTTTTTCTTATTAATATTTTTAACATATTTTAATTATATATATTCATAATATTTATAATGTATTTTAACTATACTTTATAAAAAAGTTGCAAAGCTACAGAACTTCCTTGGCAATTTATATTACTCCAAAACATACAAAGGCATTCCACTAATATATTTAAATTAACTTTAAAAATTACATCTTCTTTCAAATTGAATATTTGAAATACATGAGTTGGAATATAAGCACTAGCTTGCATACATTTTGCATCTTCTACAGTTATTTTCAAACCATTTTCAGTACCAAAACATGTAGCATTCTATAAATAAAATATAAATTTTTCAAATCAAATATATTTTATTTATTATTAAAAGTTTCAATAGAATATCTTAATATAATTGTACCTCTTTAAAATTAATTGCTTTTAATAATTGTACTATGGTTTTAAGATTTCCTAACTTTGCAACTAATGAATTAGTTTCTACTTCAGGATACATATTGTTTATTTGAAACTTGATATAATAACAAATTTTGAAATTGTTTTTCTGTTATATATTGATGAGATAATTTTCTTTTTGTAACTGCAGCTAACCAAGCTGCTAAAACATGTTTGCAAGTAAACAAAGATCTATTATTTAATACTTGACACCTAAAAATATTTCACTATTATTATGAGTATTTAAAAAATTTAAAAGTTCTAATACCTAAAAGAACCACAAATACAATAGTTTATGTCAGGAAAGAGTATATATATTGTTCCTGACAATCCCTTAATCTGTACTAAATATCTGGAATTATTTCTATCACTATGAGGCGCAACATTAGGATTTTCAGAAGGAAAGATATGAGTTATACGTTCTTGTTCATATAATTCTAGTGCTCTTTCAAATACATTACCAAAAATATTGTATAAATTTAATAAAACATTATCTAAAACTGAAATTATTAATTAATATATAAAAAATTAATAATTATAAAATATTATAATGCACACATTTTTGTTCTTTTTCAAAACTTTCAGCTGCTTCTTTTAACACTTTATATACAAATTCTGCATATTTTATATCACATGTATTAAATGAAAAAGTATTTAATGTTTGATTAATTGATGATTGTTCAGTAACACTCATTGAAAATTGTTTGATTAAATCTTAATAATCTGTGTTAATATAAATATCCCTAAGGAAATATAAATAAAAAAAGAAAAATGACAAATTATAATCTCAAAGAATTATCTTAATATTATTTAATATCATTTCAAACAATTATACACGTTAAGAAATAACAATTAAGAAATATTCAAACATCTTCAGATTGTAATTATTTGTATTTCTATTTAGCCAACATAAATTATAGATTATTTCCTATATAATTTTTTAATATGTTGGCATTACTGATAATTTAAAATTGGTTGATGGTAGCAATTCGTAACGTTTCTAACGGATGATATATAGTGTTGTTTCAAAAAAATTAATAATAGGTGTAAAATTGAGTGCAATTAACACATTAGAATTAGAATATAAAAATGAGTCGACATAGAAGACGAGCTAATGATTTTATAGATTCCTTAGATAGCATTCGTAAGTAAAACACAGATTTACACAGTATTTAGTATTGTAACTTTTTTCGTAAATAATATATTATCTTTTTTTATATAATAACCAAATAATATTCTTTTTTAGGACATTCTGAAATTGATTCTGATTCACTTTGTTCGATATCTCAAGACAATTCGAATGAAGTTGGAAGTAAATATATTAATACCAATGATAGTATAATCAGTGATATTAATAATAAATATTCCTCTACTTTAGCTAATAATTCTTTGAAACATTCCTTTACAGAAAATCTATCAATTTTTAAATCTGCCCCAGATTTAAATAAACGTATTGATTTTTTTCAAGTTGAACAATTATGCACTGAAATGAATGATAATAAAGAAAATGATCCTCAATGTTCTATGAAAAACAATAATATATGTAACAAGTTGTCAAATACTATTAATACTAAAAAACAAAGTATAGATTCAAACATTAAATTAGAATCTAATCCAATAAATGAAAATTCAAAAAGGGATACCAATTACAATATAAACAATAATAAAACAAATGTAAATTTGTTCTCAGAATATCAAGATAAACATGTAAATAATGGAACATTTGAAGCAATTCTTTGTTCATTAGATGATCAAGTTAATCAAATAAGAGATAAAAAACAAATCTGGAAACGTTTATCTAACAAATTTATGCATTCACCAGAAAACTTTACTGAAAAGCTTTTAACTATCATCGAAGAATCTGTCATAAATAATGATAATGATGTAAATGAAACATCTGCGATAGATTTAAGTAGATTAACAACAGAATTCAGAAAAATGTGCAAATTTATAGAAAATGAATCTCAACCTGAATGGCCTGAATCACCAGTGTGTACTTTTTCATGTTTAGAACAAATATCTATAAATTCTACACATAATACACCTCTTCATATGAAACAGAATAAAAATGAAATGTTATGTTCTCCCATAAATAGGTCTACATCTGTTACACCTATTTCTGGTATAGATATAATTAAAAAACGATTTTTTGCTAAAATATCAAAAAATAATACTAGTGGAAGTATTGAAAATCTGAGTAGTACATCATTTGAACATTTGGAAGCTCAATGTAACCAATTATTTCCTAAAGAAAAAGAACATTCTAAAACTTTATGTAAATCTTTATCAATGTCTTCTTTATTGAGTATGAGTGAGATCTATAATAAATGTGAGCAACAAATGGCATCACTGAATGTATCTATAGGTGATATAACTTCAGAAGAAAATATACTATTAAATACTCCAAAATCATCAAATAAATATTTATGTCAAAGTCCATCTTCAATATTTACAAAGAAATTAGAATTTAATTGTTCAACATTGAAAGAATTACACAACAAATCAAAAGATGATCAATGTAATGATATTTCATATTCTAAGAAAAAATCTAGAAAAATAAATGAAAAACCTGATTTCAATAAAACAATATCTGATAAATTTAAAAGTAGTTTTGAAATATTAGATCCAGATGAATTAGAGAAAACACTTTTACAAGATATAGCAGAAAAAAGAAAAAGATGTCTTAATACAGCAAGAATTATTTCAGAAATTAATGCAGATCCTGAAGCAATAGAGGCACAAAAAACATTAAGAATATCTCCTGATAATGAGTTAAATTCATTGAATGATGAAACTAAGTTTTTGCAAACTTTAGTATCTTGTAAAGATTATCAAACATATTTAGAAAAACATAAACCTCTTTTAAAAATACTTCAAAATTCGAATTCTAATGCAAATGAAAATAGTTTTAGAAAAACTCAAAAATCAGACATAAAATTTGAGGAAAATTCAGTTTTACAAAAAAAAATTTTAGGACTTTTAAGTCCAAATATAAAATCTTGTAATCTACATAGATCATCACAATCAAAAAAACAAAAAGAAAAAAATGAAGAGAAAATAGAAAATAAAAAACCAAAACTTTTTGTCACACCAGGAGAAACTCCTCCAAATAAAAATAATAGAAAGAAAAAAGTATATTTCCCTAATATGCAAAGTCCTGTAAAACATATTGTAAAAAGTCCACATGCAGAAGGCTTATATCGATTAAATTATAATACTATAATATCACCAGTGGGTATGTATATAAGAGGTACTGATACACAACTTATAAAAAATATACATGCTAAAACAGATCAGTTATTGCTTACACCTGTGAAAAAAAATGTTGAAGTATCATTAAATAGAAATTCAAAACAAAATATTTCATCAAAAGGCATACATAAAACTGAAGGAATCCCACCACTCAAGATTAATTTATCTCCTAAAATAAATACAAATAAACAAGAGGTAAATATAAATTTTGTTTAAATACTATATTAATCATATTTTATTTTGTTAATTTTTTTTTTATTTTTATAAGACAACAAAAACTTTAGAAAATTTCAGTACACCTGAAAATCAATTTGTACTTCCTAGAGTTTCATATAAACTTCCTTTACAAATTAAAACGGTATGTTTTATTTTTTTATATTTTTTCTTTATTCTGAAAATGTGTTCATTCATTACATTTTTAGATAACGAGAAACAAATCATGTAAGCAAGGAACTCGCGTTAAGAAATTATTGGAAACTGCTCAAAGTAAAATTGTTATCCGACATCAAGGTATATATATATACAATTATGAAAAAATATATTAGTTTTATAATTTATGTTTACTTATTTAAAAAAATTTTCTACAGGTCGGATTAATTCGGTACAGAAAGGAAAGGATACAACAGATATTGGAATGTATGAAATTAATTATGAACCTGAAGATGAATCTATACATATTGAACAAACTGCTAATAAAACAAATTTTATTAATAAATGGAAAAATTAAACAGAATGTGAATTGCATATTTGCAATAATGTTGATATTTTATATTTTCATTATAATTGAAAAAAGCAATTATTTTTAATAAAGTATATATAATCTTGTTTAATTTTTAATTATATTTTTTCCAAAAAAATTCGATATAAATTTTTCTCTCTTCAATTTATTAAGTAATATAAAATAATATTCATCATAAAATTCTTTTTTAATTTATTCTTCCTTAATTTCATTTTATATTTTTAAAAGATTTCAAAAAAAAAAAATAAAAATAAATATAATCATTCTAATTATAAACTGACCTATTATTTTCGTAAAATTTCTAGAATGAACTAAACTTAATTCATTTGAGCGTTACTGTTCTTATCTCGTAATGTTGTGTAACGTGCAACATTTCTCATTGGGCTCGTGCTGCTAAAGCAGGGATGTAAACTATACATTTGTACCTTTTATTTCCTAATCTTTAATAATAGAATTTGATAAAAATAAAAATATGTATTTTATACATAGATTGATTTAAAATAATAGAATTGTTATAGGTTAAAATTTTCTTTTATCAATAATTTCTAAAATTCCTATTGTTCTAATATGTATAATGCAAGATTTTAATATAGTAACACAAAATAATATTTAAAAAATTATAAATATTTTAGATAGAACTTAGTACTTGGAAATATATGAAATAGTTTAAAATTATAAATAATATAAATAATTGCAAATATTAAATAAAAAAAATTAAAATTTTGAATAGTAAAATTTAGTATGAAGTTTGAATTGATACGTTCCTGATTTGCGCATGGCACGTTAGTTGCACACGACATTAAGATATGTTAGTATAAGAGCGTTCGTGGTAGGAGATGATCGATAAATTTGAACGAGTACGACCGAACTAACAAGTGATCAGTCAGCTTTCGAAGAATTTAAATCGTGATAATCATAATCATCTACAAGTGAAAATGCCGGGACCAGATTGCGATAAATGTGCAGGTAAGAATTAATTTAAAATATGAGAAATTTTATTTCTTTATGAAAGAATTTTCTTTCTATAATATATAAATTTTTATTAAAATTCTAATGTTCGCAATTCTTTAAATTATTATTAAATTTTGTTTATCTTAATATTTTTTAACGTGTCATTTTTTATTATAATATTAATTTGATGTGTAAATTTTTACATTTACTTTATATTATTTTTTGCTTGCAATTATTATTATTTATTATAATAATATATAATAATAATAATATTAATATTTCGATATTTCATATTTTAATTAATAATATTAAATAATTAAAAATTTTTAGAAGATGCGAAATTTTTTTGAAATTGATGATACAACAGTTTATGTTATTAATTTATAGGGAATGTAGTGAAATAATTTATTCATTAAACGTTATTACGGGCAATATTCAATCCATGAGATTAACCAATTTATCTATATATTTTTTTATGTGTACTTAATAGAAATTTCCGCATTTATATTTAATAAAATAATTTAAGCTTTTTTTTAAAAATATTGATTTAAAAATCAATATTTAATCATCTTTTATTACAGATAAATGCCAAAAATGTCAATGTGGCGACAAATGCAAGTGTGGCGATTCGGGATGCGGTGGTAAAAATTTTTTATTTAAATTATTTTCAGATTTTTAATTTCAATTTTTTCAAATTTTTATATTATAAAAATTATACTTTATTTCTTAGATTCTCTTGTAATTCTTGTAATTCTTGTAATATATAATTTATAATATATAAAAGTTTCATCGAAAGAATGTAGTAATAGTATTCTATGTTCACTGTATTCTTTTCTTTGTAAACGAGAGCAGTGACCGTTTAATGGTAACTATTATTCATGTCGGTTCTGCGTACAGTCCAGTTCAGTTTGCATTCCATGAAACAAATGATTTTTATAATTTTCACAAATTATTTATTTGAAAATTTTATGTGCAAAATATTTTCATAACTTTTTAAGTTTTGAATTTTAAAAATTTATTACAAATAACTATTATTAAATATTTTCTAATCTTCTCTATATGCTGTTATAGACAAATGCTGCTGTAAATCTGGTGGACAATGTAGTTGCAAGACTTGCAAGTGCTAATCTGCAAGCAGGATGCTAATAAATTGATCAGCATTAAGAATGAATATTCCAACTTTAAATATCACCATTATCTAGTTATGCTTTCTTTACTATGCTTATTCTTTAATATCATGAAAATTTATTAAAAAATCGAATTATCGAATTTATTATATTAGTATTATATGTACTAATAAATAAAAGTATTAAAAATTGTTTTTTTTTCATATCTTTTATGAAATTATGTATTTTATAAAATTGTTAACTTTTTATTGAGTGAAATATAATAGAGACTTAACAAAATAAAAGATTTAATTTTTTTTCTAAAATTATAATCAAACTTATTAATGATTTATTAATTTACTAATTATAACTTATTAATTATGAACCGTTTTAGCAATAGTTCATGAAAAACAATTAATAAATTAAGTAATTATTAACTTAAATAATATTTTTATTATTTTCATTGGAAGAAATTATACCGTAGAACATTTATATATAAAATTTATATAATTGTAGGAATAAATAGAATAATATTTATCATTTGTTGATTTACCTCTTATAGATAAACTGATTAAATAGTAATAGTAAGAAAAAAATTTTTTTATGCCAATTTTATTTTTTTATCATTTTTTATCATTTTTTATTATTATTTATCATTTTCTATCATTTTTTTCACTTTTTATTATAAAGAATGCTTCAAAATTTTTTTTATTCCTTTATAATATTAGATCAGACTTATTTGTTTAAATTTCAGTATTGTAATCGAGTGTATTGTAACTCGTGTTAAAATATTAATGTTATATATTCAAGTATATCATGTATTATGTGTTGTCAGATCATCATTTTAGAAATACAACAGAAAATATAGTATATTTTTTACATTAAAGATTAAGATATTGCAGTTTTGAAAGAAAATAAAGCATGTTTAATTATATTTATTTTGTACTTTTCCTAATAATAAAAAATAATAAATAAAAAATAATAGTAATAAAAAATAAATAAAAAATAATATGTAAATATCTTACAATAAAATAATGAATAAAAAATATATAAATATATATATTTTTATATATTATATTTATATATATTTTATTTTATAAATTAAATAACTTAAATAATTTAAATAATTTAATGATTAAATAAAGAAGTAAATAAATAAATAAATTGACGCATATATAATAAATGAAACTAAAAAGAAATCTGCAAAAAAGTTTCTACAAATAAATCACTAGACAAATAATCGTTAAATAAATTAATAATAAAAGAATATATAATATAAAAGTCAAATAAGTAAATAATAAATTAAAAATTAATAATATATTAAATAAATTAATAATCTACTCTTAATTTATTTTTTAATATATAAATATAATTAAAATATATTATGTAATATTTTAATTTTTCGCGTGATTTCGATTATAGAATTTGCTTACGCCAATCAGAAAGCCGTTAGGCGAACTGTGGCGTACGGCGTCAGTCTCTTGTGGAAAGTCATCGTGATAGGACGCGTATTTGTAACTAGCTTTGCTGATTTGAATACGCAGTAGTAAGTAATTATATCATATTCTATTATCGAATTTATAAAATTTTATTAATTTTGTTTATTTAATAATTTATTCATTATTTAATATTTATTCATTAATAACGAAATTAATTAGTATTTTGAGTTTCTTTGTTCTTTTTGTGATTGAGATAGTTTATGCTTTGTTGAGATTCTTATTTGTTATTTTAACTTAATATAGTTTTTTTATACATTTGTTTTACGATTTTGATTTTTATTTAAACAAATTGCTATTCGATTATATTAGATGTCGGGATTTTCAAACAGACATTCAAAAAGGAAAAATGATTTATAATACGTATTTATAATTTTTAAGAGATAATTTTGATATTTTATTTCTTTTAATAAAAATAGATTTATTTAGAATAGATAATATAGTCTTTTTTATTCGCATTAAAACAGATGTATAAAAATTTTATTTTATCAAATTAAATTATATCAGTGATATAATAGTATTGATATATCAGTATTGCGTTTCTAATGTACATCTAATATATTTAGAAACGCAATTATACTTATATCTGTATAATGTTTATATATTTTTCTTTCTTTTTCGTTCAATGTTATGCTCGAGGCTGTTGGCATTTTTTTCATAATATGGCGTTTCTAAGACATTGGATTTGTTACGCTCGATATGTTTCGACATGTTTCGATTTGTTACCGAATTGCTGCGTATTTCTCTTCTCTAATTCATAATCGAAATTGTGAATATCGAAGTGTACATATTATCAATATTCATGGTGATAGTAATTTTATTGTATTCTTGACGTAATTTATTTGTTACGAAATTATTACGTATATATTTTTTTTCTTAATTATATTTTATTATTTTATTATTTTATTATATTATTTTATTATTATTATTACTATTATTCATATATTATTATTCAACCAATTACACGTTTATTACTATAATCTTTTGAGAACATTCTAAATTCGTTTTTTTTTAATTATCATTTATTTGACAATTATGATTTCAACTATTTCCGTTTGTTATAATTTTTTAAAATGGCTTTTGACTTTGATTATTAAATTATTAATTTTAATAATTTTCCTTGTAATGTTAATTAAAATAATTGATCAATTTTATTCATTTTATGAATTTATTTGATAAAAATTTTTTTTTTGTGGTTATTATCTAATTACTACTGATCCAATTTCAAAGGTGAGAAAAGTTTCCAATATGGATGCCATTATATTTTTTGAAAGAGAAAATTAATTTTTGTTATATTTATTCTTATACGATCGATTTTTACTTTATTATTTCAAAGAATATTTATTCTTTCATAATGAACATTTATCACAAATTATTTAAATTATAATTAACCCTTCTGTTTAAATAATAATTTAAAAATATTTATTCTTATATGAAATTTTTTTTCATGAAAAATTGATAATTACCAATTTGTAAGTTAAAAAAAAATAAATATTTTCTGAAATAAATAAATTCAGAAAGAATAAAAAATAAAAAAGAATGAGAAGAATATTTTTTTTTGTAGATTTTTTTTTCCTTCTTCCTTCCAATATTAAATAGCTTTATTTTCAGAAGAATATTGTGACTGCGTATACAATGTAAAGTTAATGTTTGCTTCGTAACAGTTTTTTGATATTTTAAAGTACATTAGTTTTAATTAAATTTATTTATTATAATTGCATAATCAGTGTTTGTTCGCCGATTGTAAATTAAATGGATGCGTAGTTTTTTTAATTTTATTTTTTTTAAATATTCGTTTTTGAAGATTATAGGATAGAGTCAGTGAGTTTTTTTTAAGGAAAGAAGGCAAAGAAATAATTTTTATATATTTTTCATTTATTTCAATTTTTTTAAATAATCAGTAAAAATATTTAAATTATGGTATTCTACGTTTTGTTACAGTTTCCATTTCTTCATATTCGATGGCTATTTTGCAATGATATTCTAGAGATTACATCAGCATTGATGACAGAGTAGATTTTTGCATTTATTGGTAAGTCACATATATATTTATGTTTTTCTAGTCATTCGATCATCGGAATAAAAAGTTCGAATTGACACGGATGACTAATTGTATACATAGATTTTTGTACATAACCACGAATATTTATTATAGCCGTAAGTAATCAATTTTTTTTTGTATTTTATCCATTAAATCAAAATAAATCTTTCTGAAATGTCATGTTTTTAACAAAATGATATTGAAAATTATGTATTTTAATATATATATATATATAATTTAAATAATAATAAATAATAATAAATAATAATAAATATAATTTAAATAATAAAATTATTTTAATGTAT